GCTAGTGTAAATGGGGCTTAAGGCGGAAAGAAGATGCGCTGGCATTGCATTCGAGGAGTTTCACATCTTCCCATGAAAATGAAAGCCTACTTCTAGAATAAAAGTATTCCTTAAAGCCTGGTTTTTACTAGCGACGGAAGCAGAAGCGTAAGACGTCTTATGTTCCTGTGAAAATCAAAAAACGGAGACGTAAGCAGAAGCAGAACATCGACGGAAGCATAAGCAGAAGGAACGGAAGGTTTCCTTTTCCTTATGCTTCTGCTTCCGTCCTTACGTCGCTAGTGAAAACCAGATTCTTATGCTTACGTCGCCAACATGCAGAAGCACAAGGTGGTAAGCCAATCAAATTCTCGTACTCAGTCCTCTGCACTGGAAACTTCCTATTGTTCCTCTTATGCTTCCGCCACATTCATTTACACTAGAACATAACGATCTTATGCTTATGCTCATGCTTCTGCTTCCGTCGCTAGTGAAAACCAGCCTTAAATTTCCCTCCAAAGCAGGAATTTTTAATTATATTAAAGATTTATTACTCCAAAATAATTATCCCTTCCAGATGGAAGACAATAAAATTGCCAAGAACAGTTTTTTTWAAGTATGGCCCTGTCTAAAAAAGGAATCGAAATGTTTCCAAGATGGCAAAACTGTCAGGAAACATCGAGAAACTTGTTTACTCAACATCGGTTGGCCATGCGCACTTYCAAAATGACCCTTGACCTCCTCGTCCGCCATCTTGTTTTAACAAGATAGAGCGAGCGTTGCCAAGTAATGAAATTTTAGGAAAGTTGACTTTCGCTGCTAAAGGAAGAAACATCGGGACACATTGTTTCCAAGCGTCTTGGAAGCATAGAATGTTTCTGCCGCTCAACAGAAACATTTATTTGTAACACGCAGCAATGTTTCCCCATGATGCTAAACTTGGAAACATCGGGGAAACATGCGCGCGGTTAACATGTTTCTGCGTTTAGCCAGGGCCTACATTTCTCATTTTCGTCGGATCAAGTTTACCCAAACCCCTCCCGATTTCTAGCGATATCTAAAAACATCAGTTTCAAGTTTTTGATCAGTTTATTACTATTTTCCATTCTAGGGAATGGTACAACCATTCGAGAAGACTTTTGGAATCTCTAAGACTACGCGCACACACTGCACAGCGGTATCTCATCGGTGTGCTGCTGCTATATGTGTAATGTCACACATCTAATTAYAATACAACTAGTTACCAAGCTACCAGCACTAAGGTAATTTTTTGACTSTGGTGAGCTTTGTCCTTTTAATCAGTATTTAGTTTTTTCAAACCCTTTTTGGTGATTAAGAACAAAATAGTTCACTCTTAAATATCGAAAATCAAATTAATGGGATATTGAATAAGACAAAAAAATGAAAAAAAGAAAAGAAAAATAACCACACGAGTACAGCAAGCTGCGAAATGGTACAAACCAGTTGTGCAGGATACCATCAAAGTAAAGACAAAGCCATAAATAACTTGGTTTTCACGGGGAAAAAAGCAAGCGATGACAAAAACAACAAACTCAAGCTCAATGGAAAAAATTCGTTTTTCTTGGTTTGTGTTAACGTTTAAGTCAATGCATGACGTAAGCGAGAAGCATATGCATGATGACATCAACCAATCAGAAACACTCTACACCAGTCCATTTTGGAAAGCTCATAATTCCAAGATGACAGACCGAATGAGATAATCAATGATACTTTCTGCACATGCGCACGTTACTATACTTATGCCATTTACTTGTGAAAACCAGGCTATCAACATCAGGTAGCTGTGCTGACAACGTGCCGGGGAAAAAACCACTAATATTATTCAAAGCATTAAATCAAAACAAACGAAAATTATATTACAAAAATCAAAGTGAAGTAGCGCTATACGCATGCGTGATGATGAGATGCCACTGTGAATCCTGAAAGGTTAGAACTAATGTACTACAGCTATGTTTAACCCATTCATCTGATTCGTTACAGAGTCTGTTGCCTTCCGCGACATATTTTCGAATTTTTGCCGCAGTTTCTCCCGTAGCTCTTGCCGCTGCACTGTCACACTCYTGTGTGTGGCTTTGAACTGTAGGATATCCTGTTCTGATATACCGCTGTCATCGTCCGACGAACAGCAATGCTAAAAAATGTTCAAATATTTTATTATCAGATTGATAAATTAATAGTTAATTGACCATATATTTCAGAAGAATTTTTTGGGGGCTATTGCTTTTATTTTATTCCGCCCCCCGGGTTGAGCGAAGAACTCTCCCCCTCTCCAAAGCTTAAAATAGAGTTTTTGCACCATCACGTGTCGGCATCCATGYTTGATGGCAGGAACAGTACAATCGTTTTACATGAGAAAGAACGCAATTCCCAAGAGCAAGAGCAAAGGGATTTTATTGTTCTGCCAACTAACCACAATAAGTCCAAGCTGGTTTATGGGCGTGGGCATGTGATGGTTCAAAACCTCTATAGTCCCCTTCACAGTTTCCTACGCCATCTTGAAAGGTAACCGTGCCTGTAAAGCAAGAATGGCGGTGACCTTACAAAGATAAAGAGCTTTTTTTAACACCTTGGACAATAATTATTCACATATCCCTATCACTGCAAGCTCATCGTTCGTCTCGCTTCCATGCACAGGGACGGCTACCTTTCAAGATGTCGCAGGGAACTGTGAAGGAGACTATAGTGGCTTAGGGACGGACCATTAGATGAATAAGGGGGGTTGCGTAAATCCCCAAAAAATATTGAGCAAGAAGTTCACCTACGAAAAAAATATCGCGAACCAGGAAAGAAAAATATCGAGCAAACAAAAAAGTGCATGCAGAGTTTGCTACGAAAAAATTAATTTTCTGCAACATAAATTTCTGCAACCCCCCCCTCGGTCATCTAATGGTTAATCCCTTACGCGTATTACATGTGTATTACCTGAACACTAGAGTTAGTCCATCCCATGGATTGAAGAAGTTTCTTCTCCTCATCATCCATCCCTTCACAATCGTCCATTTGATGTTCTCCACAACCATTCGMGTGTTCCTGATATGAGAAGCACAGAACAGGACAATTAGTGTTGATCCTAGATAAGGTGGTTGGTTTTCATGAGGAGGCTAAACCCCACTCACATTGGAGAATGGACCAAATCCACTTAGGCTTAATAATAATGGAATGAAATGTTTTCTTTACTTCAAACCAAGTGTCATTCTCTTGAGAAGCAGTTTTTTTGGGGGGGGGGGGGGTGTTTATGAATAAAGTTTGTTATAGTTAATTAACTGATGACGATGTTTCGTACCAACCTTCTCTTTTTCTTTCGTTCCTTTCTTCTTTTTCCCTTTCTTCTTCTTCTTGCCATTTTTATTACT